AAAAATAGGAATACGACATTTTCCCAAACTACTTGAAATCGAGTTGATTAACCATTTTGTATGGAGTCCGTTGGCCAATGTAGATGTAAAATAATGGTAATTAAAATACAATTAACACATAAAAAGTTTATTTTTAAACTTCAGCAGAATTCAAAATACAAATAAAAATATGCATTATTAAATACAACTTAACAATACAAAATACTTAGAAACAATTATAAACAAGCAAACAAACTTTACACATAGGTAGATGCAAAACAAACTTTTTGCAAAATCCTGTAAGTATATTATGTATGATAAATAAAAATTTTTGGAAATAAATACTAGTTTCGTTAACAAAGTACGGCAATGGAATCTTTTAATTTTTTAAACCACACCACATACAAAGAGATTAGTTAGACAATGACAACATCACTACCTTTCAAACTAATCAGGGGTAGTTTTCAACCACAACTGAAACTTGGTTAGTGGTATCGTTGGATGAAAATAAGTATCGAATTTATAATAAATGCAATATTATTTTTGTTACTTTTAAAAATATCAATCAACATCATTTCCAAAGGCAACTGAAAGAACAAGTAAATATGAGTATTAGAGAGCAGCAATCTGAACAGACCAAAATAGGAAAGAGACCATGGGTTAAATCTGAGACCAGTCTATAAATTGAATTCTTGGACAATTATACGAAGGCGCTGAAAGACCACAGAGAATTATTTTCATAATCGACAGTTCTAACTATCGTGTAGCCATAATCAACCGCTTAGCCTGTAGAATCAGTCATTATCAACATTTTATGTTGTTGAATATAGCTAATGGACAGTTCAAACCATCAATTATGATTATTTGGCAGTTGATTATAAAAAAATACTTTGTGGTCTTCGAATGCCTTTATACAACGACAAAGATACTAAGAAAATATCAGCGAATGGTTGAAATATTTAATATCCATAAATAGAAACCTCTAAGTTCAGCTATGAAGCAAAGAAATTAATATTAAGTGGCAACAAATGTGTTAAGTAGTAACAGTTAGTAACAGGTAGTAACAGGAAGATAAACATATGCTGTTAACTACACATTTATAGTATGCGTATACATTGGAGTGTAAATACCATTTTGTGGCAATCAGACAATGAAAATGATTAAACTAAAATCATATCCAATGATATGATGAAAGTAAAGAGTTGGTGTGATACAAATCGTCTTTCTCCAAATATTTCAAAAACTAATATAGTTACTGTCAGATGTAGACTTAACAACATACCCATATTGGGAATGACATCATTGAGAACAAAAGTAGTTTAAAATTTTTAGGAGTAGATATCGATAGAAAACTAAAATTTGAAGACCATATTTATAACTTGTGTAACAAAGTGTCTTCTGGTTGTTATGCAGTTAGTCACTAATGAACAGCAGCTAAGACTGTTTATTTTCCTGTGGTGGAATTTCACCTGAGATATTGAATTAATTCCATTTTGGGCTGTATGTAGTGGTTAACTACTAAAAAATATTTCAATTTTGCAAAAACGAGCCATAAGATATATGTGCAAATCAAAACGTAACAAATTTTGTAGATTACTCCTTAAGACTCATGGAATTCTAACAGTGATTTCTATCTTTATAATGGAAAGTGTGTTTAATTAAAAAATATTAGATGAAAAAAGAGTTCTATCAAGAGTTCTAAATGCCCGTTACTGTACAAAAAACTGATACGAATTTAAACAAAAATAATATAAAAATTTGATCAAACATAACTCAAAAAAAGTTTACTGCCTGGCTGTAGCTGCCAGACCTATTAATACGTTTTGTAAGAATGCTTATCTGTTTCTCATCAATATTTTATCAATATTTTATTGTTTTTTGTAAGTAGTCAAGTGAGAACCGTGAAAAAAATTGGGTAATTCAAGAGCTTTGTTGAATTATCTACTAGTTTATAAACTAGATTGTTAATTCACAATGTTATCTGCTGTTTCAGATGTCCAAGTTTGATTTTCACCTCATGGAAATTCGGTCTCTTCTCCGGATTCAAATCCCAGGCCTGAATAAACATAAAAATTATTGAAAACTTATCTTAGATTGATTATTTTCAAAATGATATTCTGCTTCCGAAGTTTAAACATTCGCAGCCATCTTTTGAAACTGTTTATTGTTTCCGGTTTTTAGGCCTTCGACTGTTGGAACATATTCCCAGTATGTATGCACTCTCTTTTGTGCTTCACAGGAATATGGAATGCAGTAAAGCCCTGGGATTGATTTGGGGTCTTGTTGACCTTCTCATGACTAGGTTGTACATGATTTTGATTTTTCAAGAAGACCGCCAATCTTGTTTGTTACTCATGGAACACAAGTCAACAACAAAAGCCTTTCTACCCTTCCGTCCAAAGTGACAGACAAGATCGGTTGCCTTTTCGAAAAATACAATAACAAGACCATATACAAGCCAAACCAAATCCAGCGTTGCTTAAGCTTGGTAAGAGACAGAAAAGACCTCAAAGCGAATCTAGGGGTTTAATGAATTCCATGTTCCTGCAGAGTACAAAAGAGACTGCAGACTGGGCTACACAGTAAAATCAGGTGAGACAGAGCATGCACTAAGCACTGGAGAGCACAGGATTTGCTTAGAAAACACCCACTTCTTGTTCATTTGTCAGACTTTTACAGCCAGTTCGTTCGTGAAGCAACTGAAATCTACAAACATAACAATTTCAACTGGTAGAAAACCATGAAGATCAACAAAATTGAAACACAAGTTTTACGAAACACTAGTAAGGCAAGAATGCCGAGACTGACTGAGCAATGGCTAAGCAGCCTGCTCATGATAATCATGAGTGACGTCCCCCTCCCCTCAGGCCACTCATAAATACAATCAGTGTCCTTGGACGTGCCAATGCACCTCCAATCTTTAAAGCGATAACATAGACCTCTGAAAATACCAGCCACTTGTGCCGGCAAAACGCCAGGAGAAAATTCCAACAGATAACGACCTAAAAACCCGAAACCACAATTAGACATTTCAGTTTTTTGAGATTTCTCACCTGTCTCATTATTTCATACACCTCAGGCGGACAACCTTCGGGTTCCTCCATCTGGTAACCTTTCTCTACGTGTTTAACGACATCTGCTAGTGGCTGCAAAAAAAATCAATTCAAAATATGGCAAAATACAATTTTTGCATAAAGAATTCAACAACTTCCCCACACCAAAATCTGAAATTGATCATATTCTGTTGAATTTATAAATCTACGAAGAAAGAGGACTTTGAGAATTGCATTTCAATATTTCAAATGCACTGATAAAACCTGTCAACTTCAGTCTTACTCACATTAATTTGATACTAGACTACTTAGGCCAATTTAATCGTTGTTTTATACAGGTTTACTTTTACATATCAAAGCCCAAAATTTCAAACTCCTTCAGTCACTTCCATTTCTGACTGGTATTTCTACTGTGAAACAGTTCAAAAAACAGATTTATTTTTGCCACCCGAATCAAACAGCATTTATAATAAAAACTAACAGAACCGGTAATTCAACAAAACTTTATAAAATAACATTCAAGAATTAAATGGCTAACTTTTTACATATTTCTAAATAGATCACTGGGAAAATGAGAGGAGAAAATGGTATTATTGAAAATAACAAGTTTATTTTGCAATGCTTTTCCCACTTCTCATAATTGTATGACTGTTAATTGACTAGTGATAGGTAGAGAGCAAAATCCTTTCCTATTCGAGCAACAATGTGAACTTAAATGGATCTTGTATGGAATGTTTTGCAAGTAGGACATATATAAATATTACTTGTTCTCTCAGAGAAACGAATTGAAAAAAAAATCATAACACAGACAAGTAGTATCAATTGTTGGTCACAATTTTTATCTACAGTGAACTCTTGACCCATCAAGAAAGTTGATAACAATTATTCAGTGAATTTTTTTTGGAATCAAGCTAGTTTTTGAAAAAGTTTCAATTAGACCAACGTATTTTGTTCGTTGGTCACAGATCCGAAGTAAAAACTTGGCGCCTCGGTCTACTTTCGGTGATAAAGTCACAAAATTGATTATTACAGGAAATCACATCCGATAATAAACATCGGTTGAATGATACCTTTTTTTCTGATTACATGCTGCAGACCCTCATTTCATTGTGTCCCGATTATTCATATAAAAAAAATAAGACTGGGGTCTTTTGTCTATAAAACTCCATAGGTTGGAGTTTTTTCGGCCCTCAATCCATATGGTTATGGTTTATACTTTTATCTACAAGGTTCTTAAAACAATAACGACTTTATGAGTTATCTTGGAACATCGTCAATAATCTTGTGGGGCAACCAACAAAGCACCAAAAGGGTTCAAAAAATATCTTGTCAGTTATTCGAGCCAAAACTTGGGATATAAAAAAAAGTGCTGTTGTCAATTAGGGTGATCAAACAAAAATGAAATATGCAAAAAATACCTGCATAAAATGATATACATACCACATCCACTCTAACAAACACTACTAGTTTATAAACTAGATTGTTAATTCACAATGTTATCTGCTGTTTCAGATGTCCAAGTTTGATTTTCACCTCATGGAAATTCGGTCTCTTCTTTTCCATTTGGATCATAATATCAATATTTCTTATATATTGGGAAATGAATAATTTAATTTGCTGGAACACTTACCGTTAGTTCTTGTTCGGGGATGACAAACAAGTCGTCGATTTCTTTAACAGGTGATTTAGTGTTATTGGAAAATAAGGCTTCATAATCTTTGGACAGAGGATTTACTAATTTTGTACACAGCCCGTCTGCATCATTCTTGTAATGTTCTATAAGTTCTTCTAAATTGTCAAAAAACTCTTCATCATCAATAGTCAGTCTGTCCTTATTTGATTTGATTCTGTAATGTTCAACTTTTGATTGAAAACATACACAAAGGGTGTAATCGCCAGGGAAGTTTGTCGATTCTCTTATAAGAAACAGGCCATCGGACCTTGGACGTAACAAATTTTCTGCCTCATCTCTGGATATTTTACCATGAAACCACCTAAAAATATTATACAAACAAAGTTAACGAAATAATTTTTTTAGTACTCTTACTTACATCAATATAATAAATACACTATTACTTTTAGACATTTATTCAAACATTTTTGGTGACATCATCATAAACAAGAACATTTCACGTTGATTTCAGATTGAAAAGCTGCGTCAAAAATCTCCTTTCAAAACGTTCAAGATCGTGGAAGTAGGTGGAATCAGAGCCAAAAAAGGCATTTGTGATTCAACACCAAGGCGCTATTTCGATCCATCATAGTACTCATCAGTGGTGCTAGGATGAACCACGGATGCATTATTGAACTCAACTGTCCTTAAAGAATAAATCTGAATCAGGAGAGACGATGGCATCACCCCCTACAAAGGTGCCATTTGTGAGATGGCAACAAGACACAATTCACACCATCTATCAAAAATAAACTAAGCTATCCAACACGGTGTTACAAAGTCAAGCTTTGAAATAAACTGCTAAAGAGGTTCGTCTTTCTCTGCAGCTTTCCCTACAGGGCCAATAGTTGGAATCAGACCCCAAAAATGAATTATTCATGAATCCGATGAGCCACAGGACTAACTGATGAAGGATTTGTAGGAAAACACGACGTGTTTTATTTCAATAACGCTGCTTCTGACCAAGCTGTATAGTTTCATTCAAAATCACTCACATTACAACGGATAGCGAGAAATACTCGATTTTGAAGCTCTAAAGTAAATTAGTTATAACATAATCAAGGGATAACTTGATTCAAACAAAAAAAACATAGAGATTTTGGTGACGAAAAGAGAAATGAAACTTTCATGTTTTTTATCACTTTTATTTGTAACTAACGTTACTGCAGTTTCGTCCTATGAGGTAAAAAATATAGAAAGTTTCATTTCTCTTTTCTTGATTATGATTTCCTACCACATAGTAACAGCTACATCCATCAATATATTGAGAGATTTTGGTTTTTGCAGCCTTTTTTGAAATTGTTTGATGTTTCAGGTTTATGTGCCATCTGTTGGAATTTCTTCCTGACATTTCGCTGGCATCTTCAGAGGTCTGTGTTAATGCTCCCTAGATTGAAGATACACTCATGCCTGTGGAACATCAGGAAGAAATTCCAACAGACGACAGTTTAAAAACTTGAAACAACAGTTTCAAATTATAAATGAGCAATAGAAAAATTATGCCGAATCAAAAATGGAATGGTGCTTCAACTCATGGTAACAAAATTTCTTAGGATATTTTATCTATTTCATTTTCAATAAAAACATATACTTTAATTTTGAGCTTCTATTTATCCTGTTTTCATTTTCAATTTTCCTGGGTCAGTTTTGATTTAATTTCAATTTAATTTTGGCAATTTAATGAATTTAAGCCTCCACTTTAATGCATATATTTTTTCCTTTTTGTTTCTTTTCCTCAAGTTACTAACAATGATTCTTCCATTATCCCATATAATTTTCAATAATTACATCATAAAGAGAATAAATAGCTATTTATATTGTATATAATGTTTCTCTAATATCTGCTAAACATTTGTTTAATTTTAAGAATAAGTATTGTAATGGGATTGACTTATTATTTCAAGTACTCAAGTAACAAACTAGTCTTCATCCTTCTGTAATGTTTAGTACTGAAAGGTTTTTATATTTCTAAATGAATATTACATTTTTAAATAATGAACTTGGATCTGTTATGACAACAGGGGAATCAAAACATTTTTATCTTCTGAGCAATCAATCAAGTACCCTGAATGTACTTACTGTGAAAAAGCATATTTGGAGCAGGATCGTTGAGGGCTTTGTACATGATTAACATTAACATCATGATCAGTGTTGCCAATAGGATTCCTAAAATTACTATCTGCTGGAGTGGAATTCATATTTTGTGACAAGCGTGTGTATTTCTGTACTATTACGTTATTATCCATTTTTTGGGCTGATTCATGGGGGGTCATCTGCAACAGATATAGTATCGAATTTCGAGGAGCTCCATCAATGTATTTCCATTTCAAATGAAATGAAATGGAACAACTGGGAACACTCGATATTTATTTCAACCAGTCTGCTGAAAGGCATGGATGATGAAACAGTGCAGCTTATTACAACGATAACCAACATGTGTATCAAAGAAGAAATGCTTCCTAATGAACTGAGACATACCAGAATAATGGAGTTTTTGAACAAGAATTAAATATGTGTTGAAATTGGATGTTTCTTGATGAAAATCCATTGTAACGTATTAGAGAATTAGAAAGCCAAAACCTTTATTCTATTATTATATTTTGAAAATTTCAAAAATTATATCAAGATTTGTATGCAACAAATATTTTTTAGGAAATGTGACATTTAAAATTCTTAAATTTTATGGTAGAACTCTAGATAATTTTATTAATCTACTAGCATATACTCTGATTTTATTTACTTTGACTATGGTTTTGTTCTCCTTCAAAAAATTAATGTTTGCCAAAGCTTTGTCAATAGGAATTTCTCTTTGGACAATAAAGCAAATTCATTATTATTATTTATATGAAAGGTCACTAACTACATGTAATCCTGCAATACCATAGAAGGCTTTTTGTTAGGGGCCCCTCAAGTAGTATCAGAGTCCATTATGCAAGGTTCAATTTCAAAATAATTTATCAGTAATAACAAATGAAGCATTCCGAACTTAAACATTTTTTTTTACTGAACCAGAAACAAATGTAAACAATTTGAAGAAACGTTATACATTCTCAATCAATCAATCAATCAATACTTTATTTTCCTGAGATTTTTTTACAAGCATGGAAATCGTCACATACAACATGTAAAAGTAGGAGTTAGAAAAATCAAGTGATAAAATATGGAATATACATAAAGTACATAAACAAATAATTCAATAGTAGTTGTAGGAGATAATCATATAAAACAAAAAAAATGTATAAACAATAGAATAGTAAACAAGCAAACAATATTCATCAAGTGAATAAAAGGCATTTTTGTAGAGAATATTTTTAACGCTATTTTTGAAAAGTAATCAATTTAAAAAAAATAACCTTATACATAGATGTGTGGATCATGCAAAGAAATAACTGTCAGCCAAATACTTTCCCAAAAATTAACCCTTTCAATTATGTAACTTATTATTGTCAAAGTAATTACATATATAGCCAATAGAGTTAACATATTTGCTATAAATACTAACAAATTCTGCATATTTTGAGCAATAGCACATCACTAGTCAAGTTAGAACCCAAATAATGTTTTTTTGTGTTATTTAAATGAAGAATCGAATTTTTGTGACGAGTGAGAAATTTAATTCACTTATAATTTTTTTTTTCAACTAATGTTTTATTCATTTCTTATTAAGTATCACATTTTCAGGTAGGAAACAAGAAAAACACTATCCCCTACAGATGAAATATCTTGAAACAGCCAATAAAATACATACATTATTAATAATGATATATGTATTTGACGTCTCAGTATATCTAAAATATGCACAGCCTTGCATTACTACTGGAAATCAATGTATATGCGAGAAATAAAAATAATTCAGGATATGTGAATAATTACATATGGATCTTATAACTCACCCAGGAAGGATCGTGGTACGAATTTGAAACCTCGTTTGGAGTAACTCTTTTATTGCCTCTGGGAGGAACTGTAGGAATATTGGGTGACGAGGTTGAGTCCCATTGGACATCAGGTTGACGAAACTGATCGAAAATATAAGGCTGGTACCTCTACAAATAAAATAGTCAATAATCTTCTCTATTATGTTTACAAATTTACTACAAAATTGAATGAGAGCATAGTGAAAAGGAAAATAAAATAAGTAGGGTATATATTCGTTTTAATGGCTTGGGCTAATTTTTGAATTTTTTTTAATGAAATGTGCATAATTTTGTCCCCTGATAACATATGTCGAGTCACATACTTCCTCAATTATCCATTTTGCTTTGCAACAGATATCAAATTTATTGATTCTGAAGTCTGATCGAGAAATATAAAATAGGTTGATGTGAAATATAGTCAATGAAAAAATTAAAATTTATTTTTATGTGGTTCTCCTGACATGATAAATCCTGTTTCAAATTGACTTGGCCTATTCTTGTCGGAAAACCTGTGTCGCTATGACTTGTTTCAACATGAAGCAGTCTGAACTTATTGAAGTGATGAGTCAATAAAGGTCTGCAGCATATAATCGTGAGATGGGTTCCTATTACAGAAAGCAAAGCAAGTTCAATAGTCAATTTTTTGACAGCTCAGGCTTTTCAGTGGCCGTATTTCGAAAAAAAAGCCAGATTGAAAAGTTTTCACTTTAGATTAGTCAGCAGACGAAAATATGTAAGTCTAATGATTTTTTTAAAAACTATCCCAAGCTGTTAAAAAGAATATTCATCATTAAATTAATACTAAAGAACTAAACTAATCTCAATGATATGAAACACAATTCAATTGACTCACTTGTTGGAAAGATGAATTTTGGTTGGTCATCACTTCTGAAGACTCTTGTTTCTCACAACATAGTTTTCTAAAAAGGAACATAAGTTTAATTTCATCATAACAATAAGAGTTGATGTTTGTAAATGTATCGTGTCATTTGCAGCCGTTGAACTATGAGGGCATTTTATTCTACTATTTGAACTAGTACCTGCACATACATTTATTCCACTCATTTTCTTCAATAGGCATTTAAATGACAAGAACAATTCATAGAGAGCTCATAAAATCGACAATTATTATAATTCATTAGCACATTTCCTGTTGTTTCCTACGAGAACATAATAGTAAAATCGCAGTACTTAGTCAATTAATAGCATAGTATTTGTAATTATGGTAATGATCAACATTGAAATTTGGTGTCCCACTAACTAAACGAAATCGACTATCTACAGCATTTGTTTCAACACTCACCATATATTTAAGTTTGATATATGAACATATTACTACTTTTGGTATTTTGTCAAAAATCGAATAGGGATATCAACTTCAAAAACATAATTTCAAAACTTCAATGTATATAACAACCACCATTTTGTATGTCTGCTTTTTGACAGATAACTAGTTAAAAATGTCAACTTGATATTTGATGTTTTGCGTTCCTGACACCGACGATTAAGGTTATGTCGATGGTTCCTGATGATTATCCCGTCAAAATAGGCGATGTTTCCCCCAGTGACAATTTAGCAAACTAGAATAGGATTCGTGCATTGTTTATCGTGGTAGCTATTATAGCAGGTTCATGCAATACCTAAAACTAAACCTAATATTTGGTAACTTAGAGTATATTTCAGAATAGTGTTTGGATTATGCACGTGTTAACGCAAGCCCAATCATTCTTCTTTGGAGGTTTTACTATACTATTGAAATTATTTCCGTAATACCAAAAAAAATGTCCAACACGTTTTCATTTATTTTTCAAATTATTAAAATATATACAAATTCGAAACAGCTGTGAATCGTTTTTACCTAAGCTCTTAGGTATTAGATATATATAGGGTGTTCCAAATTAAGTCGGCACCATTACCAACTCCGTTATTATTGATGCTACGAATTCGGTTAGATGGGCAAACTAGCAGCGAATAAAGAGCTATAAAATATCGAGTAAATATTCAAAAACACCGCTTTCTTGTCGAACAGGAAGGCTGGCTTTTGGGATTTGAGATTTGTCAATGTCAATCCGTCAGTCAGTAAGCTTGCTTACTCACCAACAGATGTTTATCTCTAGACACTAATCATTAGACTCATGTGCTCATGATTCATATATGGGCAAGTTCCTAAATGTGCCAGAAAATTTCTGATAGATCGCTTCTACCAATAGAACGCGCTACGTTTCGATTGGACCAATGGATCAATTCATCAGATCAATGGTGAATTTAAGAACCTTAATAAATGCAACTTTTATGGTTTATGTGTGATGTGACAATGTGACATTTTGACATTTTAGAAAGTAAACATGGGATGAATAATATTAAAATTTTGCAAAAGTGGAAAGTGATTAGATACACACTTGAAGAAACGATTGCATATATAAAAAACAGATTATGTGCAGATTCAATTAAGTACTGAATATTTTCAATTATGAATCAAAGACACACAAAAATTCTACTTCTAGTTGTCACAATTGTGCTGCTGTACAAAACTTTTCATTACTTTCCGTTCAATAGGGGAAATTTTGAAGAAGATATAGAAAGCATTGGAAAGGTTAAAGTATCTGTTTACTATGAAGCCTTATGTCCAGACTCAAAATTCTTCATTATGTATCAGCTGCTCCCTGTTTTTACAGACTTATACAATTTCATCATCCTAGACTTGGTTCCCTATGGCAAAGCACAGGTTTGTTATAAATTTGTTTAATGACTGTCTCCAAAGGAGTGTATAAACTACCCCAAGTCACTTATGAGCTACTGCCAAAATTGTAGGAATAATCTTGAAATAATGAAATATAACAAACATTGAGCGGTTTTCTTGGGAAATATATTAGTTTATTTCCTTAATCTTGTAATAAGTTTCAAGACATTTTAGTGAAATTTATTTTGAATGGAGTTTTGAATCTCATAGTACTTTGTAACAAAAGAAAATGTTTTGAAAACCATATATGACATATCGGTGGACAAGATTTCCACCAAACAATTTCAACTTTCAACACTATATCATTATCATGTAATATCAAACAATTCAGTTTCGAGCGATATAACCCTATAGAATTACATGATAATATCTATGACACATAAAATTCATCTATTTTGACAATCACTCAAATAAATAATTATATTTTACCTTGCTTTTGAAAATTTTGTAGTTACTAACCTGATGAAACTTATCAAGTGAACCAGGTATATCCAGAATTGGTTGAATGTTTTATAAACAATCCTAAAAAAAATAAGTATTAGATATTTCAAAGAAAATTATGTTTTATGATTCAACTGATAAACTGAATATTAATAATGATAATACACTCTATTGATTTCAAAGACTTCATCAGGTATGAAATATAAGTCAAAATTAAAGTTAAAATTTAAGTTTGACATAAACTCATATGAAAATACAAATACCCACGAATGGAAATAAAAATACAAAAAGGTAGGTACATAACAATATACAAAATATCTCATGCCAGAAAATTTTCCAAGATATAAAAGAGTTCATTAAGTTAATAAATTTGAGTGTTTCATTATTCCGAAAGTAAGTTTCTCTTCTTCACTTAATATTCGCAGGTAATTTGGTGTAGATTCTAATTCCATTATAGATGTACTTTTTAGTGATTTACTGAGGTGATTTTGAGGTGTAGAGATTGTGGCCAAATCTAGTTGGATAAGTGGCTTCCTCAGTGTTTGCAAAGTGTCTCGAAATGAAAATGTTTGTGAAAATTGTTTAATAATTGTCATGGATAGTGTTAATTTTCATCAAGTAATGGGTCAGTCCATTCGTAATCTGCAGTATTAACATTATTGCAGAACATTTGATTAGGCACCATGGTGAAGGACACATTTGTCAATTGATCATTTCTGAGCAGATTCAAATGTGTGAAACTTTGATTGTGTTCTAACCTAAAAAAAAGCATCACCATTCTATTCTATGTATCAAAAGTTTCACTAAAAATTAGGAATGTTGCATGAAGGCATTTTTTCCTGTTAATTACAAAGTTATGTTTCTTTTTTCGATATTGTTATCTTTTGTTTGTCCTCAACTTGGACATTGTAAACTGTACATACCTAAAATAATTTGACAAGTTAGAGAAGTAAAAACGTTTCTGTATGTTTTGAATACACTGACCTGCTTCTTTGTGAAAATCTAACACTATTTATTATGATAATTACAAATCTTCACCATATACACATTATTTCCAATACATGTTTCACTATATAGAAGCATCCTTAGTTTGACTGGTGGACGAGTTAAAATGAGTTTGAATGGGTTTTTTTTTCAAGCAACTGTTTATCACTGTTCCATTTGAATGACAACCCTCAAAGTCAAAACTTATGAGAACTAAAGATTAACGAATTCTTTCTTACCTCTCAACTTGCGACAAATATAAAATCAAAATAAAAAATGATTACAACTCAGAAATCAGATACACTCTTTGGATATAGTTTACTACTGATTTTGAATATTAATTGCATTTACCTTCGATAACATGCATTGTGTTTTATCTACTGTGCAGATTGTATTCACTTATTATGCAGTTTTGAAATGTTNAAAAAAATGGCGAATTCTCCAGTTCCTAATTCAGTTACTAGATGGCGAGTTTAGGTATCTCATAGATGAAGTTTTCATAAGGAAAGTCGACTTGTTTCTCAACCAGAGTTTTATACTTGAATTATCGGCAGTTTCAGAAATTGAAAAATCAACTTTTTATTTTCAGACTATCGAATCTGATGGAAATATAGAATTCCAGTGTCAGCATGATGCTCTTGAATGTTTTGCAAATAAAATACATTCATGTGTGATAGAACTGGTTAAAGATCCGATGGTTCAGTTGAAATATATCGCATGTATGATAGCAGATAATATGGTACCTGAAGAAGTGGAAGAAAGTGTAAGTATAATATTTCTTGGATGATGGCAATCAATTTATGTTTATTTATTGATCTATCGAAAGCCATGATCTACTTTTACATGTATTGGAGAATATAGGCATTAAGAAAAACTTCTTTACAGTTATTTGTAGAATTTACAAAATTATTGAAATAGATTATATAGAGCAAGGGTCCCAGAATAGAACTTTGTGGCACTCCTATGGAATAATTTCTGTGAATAGACTTGAATTTCTCTATCTCAACATATTGAATTCTACTGCACAAGTAAAGCGCAGATATTCGGTTCAAAACCAGCAAAAGCTACGGCCCAACTGAGCAAGCTATTGTCGTCCAACCACGCTGAATTGTGAAAGGGGGATATTAAACGATTCGGTAATAAGGCGTGTGATTTTGAGACTACACTGTTTGTCTCACAGAAAATCATTATTTTGTAGACACACTTCGTAAAATTAATAAAAATAAAGTGAAATCCACTCTCCATATTTCAAATTTACCAAGGATATTTTCTGTTAATTTACTAAGGATATTTTCGGTTGAAAAGCAATAGTTTTTATTATTGTATTCAGTATATGCATACTCTTTTTTCATTTAATTGAATTGTATGCGCAAAAAAAGTATACCAACACTTATCTCTATTTTTGTATTTATTGAGGATATCCATTTACTGATACACTATTCCTTTTGAAAAAATCTTTTATTATTATTCAGTTGTGCAAACACTGACGTTCACCATTCTGTATTTTCAGTGCGCTCGTGAATTGAATATTGACTTCCTTCCTATATCCGAGTGCTCCAACAGCATCAAAGGATCCCAGTTACTGAAGAAGCATGGCAAAAGGACTCATTCCTTGAGCCCTTCTGTGAAGTTCATTCCAACGATAGAATTAAATGATAGTCAAAGTATAGTTGCGCAGCCATCAATTTTGAAAAACTTACATAAATCAGTTTGTCAAGTGCTTGATAACAAACCACAAAACTGTTAAAAACGCCTCCAGATCGAAAGATGCCAATGGATTAGTTAATATTCTACGGTTTTCTAGTGATGACTACATCTCATTACTATATTTGATGGAACTGACCGACACTTTATTGAAATCCATTAAAATTGAATTACACTTTGACATGTTTTCACTTGACAGTTTACAAAACAGCGATACAAGTTTATACTGAACACGCTCGAAAAAGTTTTTGTATGGTGACACACATCTTGCGTGAACTGTGAAGTGAAACGCTCACAATATAGTGATATTTAAGTATGCCTTCTCATTCATGAAGTAATTAGTCAACTCAGTGCCAAAACACCAGATTAACGAATTCTTTCTTACCTCTCAACTTGCGACAAATATAAAATCAAAATAAAAAATGATTACAACTCAGAAATCAGATACACTCTTTGGATATAGTTTACTACTGATTTTGAATATTAATTGCATTTACCTTCGATAACATGCATTGTGTTTTATCTACTGTGCAGATTGTATTCACTTATTATGCAGTTTTGAAATGTTTATTTAAATTTTTTGAACACCAGTGATAATGGACGGAAACTGACAATATAAATATAGTAACCATAATATCACAGTTACTGTTATCACTTGACCATTATAGAATATTGGATAAATATATCTATTTTTTGCTTTTTGTGCATAATTGTACTCATTGCATTTGTTTTTTCTTTGAACATTCTTTGTCCTTGATATTGATTTCCTGGATCAATATGGCAGTCATCGGATATCAACCCAGGATGTATAAACCTCTCAAGAAGCTAGCTACTTGCGCAAGTGAAACGTCGAACCCAAAAAATAGTGACACTTTTGACACTTTATTCATAAGAGGGTATTTAAGACCTCTACCAATTTTCAGCTTAATGCAAATTACTATACCTCCTTTTTATGCTTATTTTGACTGAATTAGGTATAAAATTTTGAAAATCGAGATATCGATTCTGTTCAAATCGACCACATATGCTTCTTTGAGGATATATTCAGTCCACTAGTGCAATATTTTTTTTGTTCATTGAATGTAATATTGTATACTCGTATTGAACTCTCAACACATTATTTATTTAGTTAACAATGAATATATAATTAAAGCACTCACCCAGTCATGTTATTTAAATAGTTTTCAATCACTAGCATAGCACTAAGAAACTAATTTCATTATCTGAAGTTTGGATATGGAAAGTCGTCAACATATGAATAATGTCTTTGGTGAATCATTTTTATCATTTATGATTGTCACAAATCAATTGCTGCGAAAGAATGTGAACAATTCACGTAAGGATGCAATATGTGACGAAAAATAACTTCTTTGCGAGGTAAAAACTCAAAGATCCATCAATACATATAATGAAAGTGTTACTGATCGCGTTCTGGACATGAAAGACTTTTTAGAATTAATTAATAGTAAAAAATAAAATTTTTTCAAACTAGCTTTTATTCACATTCTGTAAAAAGTAGAAATGATCTTTAAGTGAAACCCATCAATTTGTTGCAATACACAATTCATATGATATGAAAGATTGTCGCGAGATTTACCTGTTTATTAAGAAACCCCAATTTTTTTCTCGGAATTTCTCATGTCAAGATCAAGTTACATACGTGTTCTATATAAAAAATAAGGTGAACTTTCATTTTTCTCAANTGAAAAAATCTTTTATTATTATTCAGTTGTGCAAACACTGACGTTCACCATTCTGTATTTTCAGTGCGCTCGTGAATTGAATATTGACTTCCTTCCTATATCCGAGTGCTCCAACAGCATCAAAGGATCCCAGTTACTGAAGAAGCATGGCAAAAGGACTCATTCCTTGAGCCCTTCTGTGAAGTTCATTCCAACGATAGAATTAAATGATAGTCAAAGTATAGTTGCGCAGCCATCAATTTTGAAAAACTTACATAAATCAGTTTGTCAAGTGCTTGATAACAAACCACAAAACTGTTAAAAACGCCTCCAGATCGAAAGATGCCAATGGATTAGTTAATATTCTACGGTTTTCTAGTGATGACTACATCTCATTACTATATTTGATGGAACTGACCGACACTTTATTGAAATCCATTAAAATTGAATTACACTTTGACATGTTTTCACTTGACAGTTTACAAAACAGCGATACGAGTTTATACTGAACACGCTCGAAAAAGTTTTTGTATGGTGACACACATCTTGCGTGAACTGTGAAGTGAAACGCTCACAATATAGTGATATTTAAGTATGCCTTCTCATTCATGAAGTAATTAGTCAACTCAGTGCCAAAACACCTCTTCTACAAGAAAATAGGGTTAAGTTTCTTTCAAAGTTCATAGCGAATTGAAAACAATGAAAATAAATTTAATGGTTTTATAACCAAAAAGGAGGTGGCAAGTGAGATTGATCAATCAGAAGCTTAGTAAGGATTTAAAGATAACTGCAAAATCACTAAAAAATAAAAAATTCAAATAATAAAAAATATCTTCGCTGATAAGTGAGTCCTACTCATGAAATCAACACTGTTGTGGAAGATTGTTCGATCCCAACTCTAAAATGTTTGATTTTCGCTGCATATTGTCTAAGATGAAGATAATAACTCATGCTTCAATTAAATTATTCATTATATACTTATTCCACTTAATCTCTCACAACTTTTTCTTGAAACGTAATCATATTGTGATGTAATATTTAACGCTCTGTGGATTACAAGCGTCTAAAATCGGGATTCTCATTGAAAAAATATGGTTAACCTTCACATATGCTATGCCCTAGCTCCAAGGAATAGGTCGAGGTAAAGAAAAATCGAATATATTTTTATGGGTGAAATTTGACACTGGATCAAAAATAAAAGTTTTAATTTCAAAAAGTTGGTCAACGTTCACTTTTTCCTATGACCTTGATCCAAGGTCAAGGCCATAGTTAAAACGATTCATTCGTATTTTTATGGTTAAAATTAGACACTGGATCGAAAATAAAAGTTTTAATTTTAAAAAGTTGGTTAACGTTCACTTCTGTTATGACCTCAATCCAAGGAAAAAGGAAAGGTATTCAGAAGTTGTCACCCTTGGTCTTACAGAACTTTGACATTGAAAACTAGGATACACTGTAGATTTTTTCAGAATTTGGTATCTTTTGATCTGCTGGCAATAGATAATGATCGGAGTGTTTGAATACTAGATTATTTTCTTGATCAGTGGGTTTCAGATTTATTTGTGAAAGTAACTATGAATATTGCTCCAATACATGGATTCCATAAAAATTGGCTGCAGATTGCATAACATTGTGGAATCTACTTATTGAGTCCATTAGGAGATTTTGAACCCTCAATAAACTTGAAAGATGTAGATATTACAAAACCGCGAGCCGTTTCACAGAAACCTTCAATTGTAAATAAGTAGCAGTAGAAAAATGGTTTTGAAATTAATTCTACATTTGTTAAACAGTTAAGTTGAGAAAAGAGATTCAAATGTCCTAATCTGAAGCCCTCCAGATATGATATTTCTCTACAAAGACAATTATTTATAATTTGCCACTTGAATCATATTTATGACTGGATCATGGACCAGATTTTAATAAACTTTAATCAGTCACTATTTAAATATACAAATCTTCTTCATCTTCACTGCTGCTTGTGCTGTTATCGTCATTTAAATTTATAATCACTGGATTTATCTCTGTTTGAACGTCCGTGAATGTTTTTTTTTCTGATTGATTAGGCCGTTACTTGATGAAGATCCATAGTAATTTCATAAACTACACACAAACTAAGTTTGTAGAGATCAAATCGTGAGGTATAGTTTTTGAAATTTCTGTGAATGTTTAATTTTTCCCAATATTTTCGCTCTATATCTACTACATGTCGGCACCACTTTTGCTATTCCTTGGAAGTGATTTGATCTAACTCATGCTCCGCCAGTTTTCTCACATCTTCCAACTTGAAAATTATATTCTTTTGGGATGTTGTTTTTGACAGTAGCCCAAATGAGTTCAATGGGTTTCAAATCCGGAGGGTAGGGTGGAAGTCGCAAAACTTTATGTCCCTGTACAAGCAGAACCTCATCAAATTTGTATCTAATATGATGATTTTTATTTGCCTTGATCAACTCATAATTTGATCATGGCAGGGGTGAACATAATGCTTTTTCATGCAGCCACTTCACCATGTCAGCCTTCCTAGAATTTGTGTGGGGGCTAGAATAATTTCAATATTATGGTATTTACGGAATTCACAGATAAATTTGGGATTAACTTGTAACCATTTACCATAATTTTCAGAATTCATTTATGAATGATAATCTCCTGATGTGCCTGATTTAAATTCAAACTGACAATTAGGTATAAAGCCCATGTCACCTCCTGCATGGACAATAATGAGTCTTGGCCCCTTCTCAATAAGTTTAAATAACCTTTTGGTTGATTCATCTGTCCAGTTCTTGGAAGATGTATGTCCACTATGAAAGTATGTTTCGTCAAGAAACATACACATAATGTATCAATGTACAACAGAATACCTTACAGAACAGACACTTGATATGGAACACTAACCATACACTTTTTTGACAGATGACAATCTCAAAGGAGATTATTAATAACCTAAAAATTTCGCCGAGTCAGTGAACGTGAACATGGTCAAATAAAGCCAGCTGAGTTGAAATGAAGGCTTAACAACCTTTCGAGAAATAGTGATAATTTCTCGATTACAATAAAACTATATATCTGATAAGTTTAAAATAATTTAATTTCACCGCTGAAAAAATACAGTAAACACTTTCAACACAATGTAAGTCACCAAAACTCGAGTCAAGTTGACCTCCCAATATCAAAGTGGCGCGTAAGATATTCTGTAGTTGAAGAGCCTCTATCCTCCATAAAATAGATGAAGAAAACCATGCTTGCTCTAATATACCTACAAAAATTTGTAGAACAGACACACCAATTCCATTTTTTTCTCTGAGCAAAGCTTGAATGTTCAATGAATCCAATGATTATCAGCACTGATTCGTGAAAGATCAATAACAGTGGCGTACCACAAGGACGTACCTGAGATTTTATTTCTGTCTGAACACTATTTCAAGATTTCAGTGACGGTAGAGTGCAAACATTAAACTCCTCAAAGAAACATACGTTATATGAAAACAATTTTTTTGCAACTCCAGTGAATTGTAATGAATTTTGAAGTTGTTTTATTCGCACCTGAAAATATATCAAGTCTCGGAGGAGGTGCAGCCGTACAGATCCTCATTGGTTCCCGATATACAGGCTATTTTAAAATGTCATGTCTTACGACAAATCTTATGAATCTGTTTCTTAAGAAGATTCGTCTACGATACAAGGCGTTAAACTTGTATTATTCTCCTAAATTTCATTACACCCTTCGTATATTTCTGAAGTTATCAAATTCAAATTAGTACACAACCTTCTGTTAGTTGTCTTTGAAATGTCATGAAGACATTGAACAAAACATGTTGAATGTTTATTAATATTTTTGTAATTGTATATGTGGTAGTTATACCTACGCCCACATATACAATTACAATGAAGAAACGAAAATGTAATGTTACCAACTTGTCTTATTCCGATCTATCGAAGAAACTTTTTAAAATGTCAAATTCTGATTTGGAGTTTTCTCAGAAATCCAGAAATGTTAAAATATACGAGGTCTGTTCAAAATATAAAGTGAATTTTCATTTTTCTCAAAGAATATTTATTTATTCAACAATCTACTTTGTTCCCTTCAAAGTATTCCCCCGGAAATATAATACACTCATGCCAGCGTTTTTTCCAATCCCCGAAACAGTTCTGATATGCAGGTACCTATGTCCTCGAGCTCTCAGCAATTTGCTTTTCATCTCCTCAATCGTCGCGAAACGCCTTCCTTTCATGAGTCTCTTCAATCTTGGGAACAGGAAAAAGTCGTAGGGGGCCAAATCTGGTGAATACGGTGGCTGGCATGATTACAATGTTGTTCTTGGCCAAAAAATCACCAACTAGCAATGCCGGCAAATCTGGATCGCCGTTGACGTCATTCAACATTTCCTGAGCCATGCTCGTGCGACGGTTTTTTTGGTCAAAATTCAGTAATTTTGAAACGAATTTCGTTGCCACACGCTTCATGCCCAAAATTTCCGGCAAAATTGGATTTCCGGAAAAG